AAAAAAAAAAAAAAGACATGATATCACAAAGCAAACTGATTCTAAAATCTACATGATAGCAAACTAAACCCAAAGCAAGCAGAGGAAGAAAATAATAAAGATTAAGTGGAAATCAATAAAATAAAAAACAAGAATTGGGAAAATCAACAAACCCAGAAGATGGTTCTTTGAAAGATCAATAAAAATGAGTTAGCTACAAGACGTGAGTATGATCCTGATACCAAAGCCAGAAAAAGACATCATAAGAAAAGAAAGCAGGGCCGACCCCATGGTGCACTCGGGAGAGTGCGGCGCTGGGAGCGCAGCAGCGCTCCCGCCGCGGGTTTGGATCCTATATAGGGATGGCCGGTTGCGATCCCCTTACCGGTCACCGAAAAAAAAAAAAAAAGAAAGAAAAGAAAGCATACATAAACATCCTTCATTAATAGCGATGTAAAAATTCTTAATAAAATAGTAGCAAACCAAATCCAATAATATATAAAACTCATTATATACATCATAACCAAGTGGGATTTATCTCAAGAATGCAGAATTGGGTTAACAACCAATAAAGAGAAAAAAAAATGTGATCATCTCTATAAACGCAAAAAAAGCATTTGACAAAATCCATTACCCATCCATGACAGTAGCTCTCAATAAACTAGAAATAGGAAAGAACTTCCCCAAACTAATAAAGTATATCTAATAGAAAACCTACAGCTAAAATACATAATGGTAAAAGACTAAATGCTTCTGGCCAAAAATCAAGACAAAGGCAATGTTGTCTGCTCTCACTTCTATTTAACCTTGTATAGGAGGTTTTAGCCAGTGAAATCAGGCAAGAAAATGAAATAAAAGGCATCCAGATTATAAAGGAAGAAGTAAAACTGTTTATTCTCAGATAACATAATCCTGTATATAGAAATCTCTAAGAAATCCACACACACACATACACACACACACAAAAAAACAAAATAAAGATTAATGAGCTCAGCACAGTCTCAAGAAACAGATACACAAAAATAAATTCTATTTCTTTATACTACCAATGAATAATCCAAAAATGAGGTTTAAAAAACAATTCCGTTAACAATAGCATTAAACAGAATAAAATATGTAGGAATAAATTTAACAAAAAAAGTGTACACTATACACTTGTATACTCAAAGCTACAAAACTCAGAGAGAAACTAAAGGATCTAAATAAATGAAGAGACAGTTCATGTTCATAAATCAGAGAAACCTAAAATATTAACATGGCAATTCTCCACAGATTCAGTGTGATCCCTATCAAATTCTAAGCATGGGGTTCTTTGCAGAAATTTACAAGCTGATCCTAAAATCTATATGGAAAAGCAAAAGACCCAGAGTAGCCAAAACAGTCTTTGAAAACAAGAACAAAACTAGATATCTTACACTTCCTTTTTTTCAAAACTTAGTAAAAGGCTACAGTAATCAAACACTGTGATAGAGTATGAGGACAGACATACAGACCAATAAAATACAATTAAGAGTCCAGAAATAAATCCACACATTTATACTCAATTGACTTTTGACAAAGGTGCCAAGGCAATTCAGTGGGAAAAGGGTAGTCTTTTTTTCAAAAATGGTGCTGGGACAATGGATATCTACATGCAAAAAGAATTTAGACTCTTAACTCACATGATTCCCCAAAATTAACTCAAAATGAATCATAGACATAAATGTAAGAGCTAAAACTGCAAAACTCTTAGAAAAAAACAGAAGAATAAATCTTGTGACCTTGTGTTAGGCAAAGAGTTCTAAAATATAACAACAAAAGCATGCTCCGTAAAAGAAAAAACTCATAAACTGTACCATATCAAAATGAAAACTTACCTGCTTCAAAAGACACCATTAATAAAATAAAAGACAAGCCACAGATTGGGACAAAATATTTGCAGATCACATATCTAATAAAGGACCTGCATTCAACATATATATAGAGAACTCTTACAACTGAATAATAAGAAAAAATCCAATTAAAAAATGAACAAAGATCTGAATTGACCAATGGCCAGTAAGCACACGAAAAGATACTCAACATCTTTAGTCATTAGGAAAATGCAAATTAGAATGAGATACCACTTCACCCCTACTAGAATAGCTATAATCAAAATGAGTGATAATAATAAATGTTGCTACAGTAATTAAGGCAGTATAGTATTAGAAAAAAAGACAAATGGAGAAGAACAGGTCCTAAGAACAGACCTTGGCTTAATGGAAACTTGATCAGTGGGGAATGGGCAGTCTTTTTTAAAAAAAATGGTGCTTGGGAGATTGTTTATCCATACGGGAGAGAAAAATAAAAAAGAATGGTACAAGGTCCTAACTCACCCCATTTAAAAAAAAGGATTCAATTAGTCTTACTTCTCCATTTCTATCTATAGTCATAGCCATACTCTTTTACTTGTCATTTAGCAGTTCCTTCCCCATATAAAGTTCAAAAGCTTGAATGTACTTCCTTGACCCTTGACTTTGGGCTTAGCCATGGGACTTACTTTGGCCAACAGATTGTAAATAACTGTGATCCAAACAGGGCTTTGCCCTCTTGAACTTCTGCTAATATCATTAGAAGAATATGCCCCAGGTAGTCCACTGGTCCCAGGAGGAGAATCAGACCAACATGGGGCACAGCTGTCCCAGAAAACCTGGCCATATGAAGCAGAGGCAACTCAGCCAAGCTCAGACTAAATCAGCCAAGTCTCAGACAATCTGTCGATGCATAAAAAATAAACGCCACTGAGAGTCTTGCAGTAAAGCACCATTATTGAGGCAACTGTTAACGGATGCAATTTCAATGGATTAAAGTATAAATGTATAAAGAAAAACTTCAAAACTTAAAAAAAAATGTTAAGTTACTTTACGGCCTCATGATAGGGAAGGATTTCTTAAATAAGATACAAAAAACAAAACCAACCATAAACAAAAAGATTGCCCAAATAAGTAATTCTGCTCATTGAGATGCCTCAAAAAAAGTGAAAAGACAGCCCATAAAATGGGAGAAGATCTGCCACGCATACTTCACAAAGGATTATATCAGGAATATATAAAATAAATGTGTAAAGGACAATCACACCAACCAAAAATATGAGCAAAACACATTAACAAGCACTTCACCAAAGATGAAACTCAAAAGCCAACAAGCATAAGATGTTATATGTCATGCAAACAGAGCTATGAGACACCATTTTTACACTCAGTAAAATGATAAAAACAATTTAAAGTATTGGCAATACAAAGTATTGGCAAGTGTGAAACAACAGGAGTTCTTCTACAGTTTGCAGGAGCATAAACTTCTAACTACTTTAGAAAAAATTGGTATTATCTTAAATTTTGAGATGATACAACAATTCTTGGGGAGCTGGCTGGTTAGCTCAGCTAGTTAGAGCACAGTGTTATAACATCAAGGTCAAGGGTTCGGATCCCCATACTAGCCAGCCATCAAAAAAAAAAAAAATTCTACTCCTTGGCATATTCCCTGGACAACTCATGCACATATATGCTAGGATATATGTATATAAATATTTATAATAGCTTATATTTTTAAAAAATTAAACCTAAATGTCCAACAATAGTAGAATGACTAAATCGTAACATATTCATAGAATGAAATGCTACATAGGAGTACAAATGAATGACTGACAGCTGCCTGCATCTACGTGAATGAATCTTAATGAGTGAAAATAGCAAGTCACCAATTAATACATATGGTATTACGTGTAGTGTGATACTGCTTAAGTAAAATCCAAACATAAACAAAACTCAATATATTGTTTAGTGAATTATACACATTTGGTAAATTTACAAAGAAACAAGAATAAAATATAAATGATAGACAAACTCAGATGTAGAAGCAGGCCAATGGGATCCACAAATCTATGTATTTATCAAATATTTTATAAGTTAGTGGGGGAGGAAGGAGATAAACACTTCTATTTGAGAAAATGAAAAAAGCCCTACTAAGGTTGCCATGATAATTTCTACAGAGTTTCAGAGAAGGATAAATATAGTCAATTCTGATTTTACCTTTTTATGTCTATTTTATTTACATGACTTCTTTTCAGTATCCAAAACCTAATATGAAAAAAAAATCACATAATCATTTTTATGCATCAATGTCTAATTCTGGTATACTGTCATATTCATAATTTTCAAGTGATTCTAATAACATTCATCCTAATAATCATCTAATAATATTTACTACAAGAGGACCTGAAAACTAATTTTATATCATTTTTTCCATATAATTTCATACAAATAAACAACTAAATATTTGGAATAACTTCTAATTCTGCAGTAAGCTTTCATATTTTATAATCTAAAAATATCTAGAAATAAGAACCTTTGACTTTCTAATATTTGCATGTACTCAAGGGAACATCTGCCACAAGATGGTATGGTTGATTTTAAAAGAATCTTATTTTCACATTTATTTCAATTTAATTTTGAAGGGACTAGCTCCAACTAACATATGGGAAATGAAAGAATATAAACAAGTATAATTTTTCAACAATCTTTTCTTACAAACCAAAAGAATATTTGAAGAAAACACTTTGAAATTGCCACTTGACTATTCTTTGATATAACTCTAAAATGTTTATTAACTCATGATTCCTAACTTACCTTCTGAGAGTCTTTATAACAGAAGTACTATTTCTCTTATTTCCTTTGTTTTCCTTCGTTTAGTGTAGCTATTAAAGCTGCTACCTACATTAAAGGTTTTAAGAACATTCCAATTTATACCAGCAAAAGGTATAAATCTTTGATTCAACTACAAGGAAAAATATACAAATGAAAAATAATTTTCTAAACTAAATTCTTTTTATTTCACTATCAGTCCCATGTCCTAGTATATTCCATATGCTAATTTATGAGACACTCTCCTTAAAGAACAGTATCTTTTCAAATTCTTGTCCTTACTTTTAAACACTTTTTTAAAAAGGGAAAACAGAAGATTATGATTGTACTTACTTTAGCCAACAGTTCTTGTGTTTCAGCAGTCAGTGGAGCATGTGAAAACTTGCAATATTCTCCCTGATAACACTTTGTTCCTGTATGGTAAAACTTGCAAGGATATTCATGTAACCCAAATGTTAAGGAATAAAATAATTTTAATCCAACTATAATAATTTATAAATTTAATTACTATATTTTTCCTATGTATGAATTCTCTATTTAAAATATGTGACAATAAATTATTAACTGGGTTACATGAAAAATCTGATTTTAGAAAAATGACATAAGTCAAATTTACTGACTATCACAGGACACTTTTTTCCTTTGTACTGGTTATTATAATAGACTACAATGTTCCATTGATATATAAAAGGGATATAGATTTTTAAACACCTTGAGAAATGTGATTTTTTTTTTTTATGCTTTGTTAGTTTCAGGATCTTGGTCTTAAGAGGCTGGCAGCTTCCACTTTCTGTCCTTTGGAATTCTTGCTGTGGGGGAAGCCAACCCCCATGTAAAAGCAACAATACTGAGACCACCCTGCTGTGAGGAAAGCCAAGCAGCCACATGGAGAGCAGAGTGCCTGACCAGCCCCCAGCTTTCAAGCTATCCAAGCCCAGTCACCAAACATGGGAGAGAAGCCTTCAGGTGATTCCAGACCCTACTAAAATATGATTGAAACTGCTAGAGACACCCCAACAGAGAAATGCCCAGTCAACCCAGAGAACCACACTGCTGCCTTAAGTCACTAAGTTTTGGGATTGTTACACAGCAAGAGGTAACTGGGACAGAGAGCAAGCCCTGGTTCTAAGGTTCTTAGGGAGTCCCAACCATCCCTGAAGCCCCTCAGTAACCAAGGTTTCTACTGGTCAGTTCTAGGAGGGCAGAAGACCAAATAGGGTAACTCACCAGACCAGCCCTGCAATCCATCAAACCTAACTGCCAAGCTACCTGATACACTGCAATCCTCCTCACAAGCTACTGTTGTTAGAAACAAGAAAAAGCTACCTTGAGACATTTAACATCCTGTATTTTGCAGCCAGTTAGAACTGGTTTAGTCTGGATGGCAACCCCCACCCAAACCTTCACCATTTCTATACATCATCCGCTAAGAATATGAAAATGAATAGTTGCAGGTATTAGGATCCTGCTTCAGGATTTCCTTTTCATGGTTTTGTCCCTAGAGTTGGCTATTTATTTCGAAACAACTATTTTAAATAATAAATAGTTTAAAGGACACTATTCAATACTGTCATTGATGATGGATTGTGAATTTTTTTTATACATACTCTAAAGATACTAAACTTTTTTTTTTTTACCTTTTTGTCTTTTTTTACTGACCGGTAACGGGATCGCAACCCTCGGTGTTGCGCCCGTACCGGGGACCGGCAACAGGATTGCAACCCTCGGTGTTGCGCCCGCACCGCGCTCAGCCAGTGAGCGGGAACCGGTCTCCATATGGGATCCGAACCCTCGGTGGGAGCGCTGCCACGCTCCCAAGCGGCGCACTCTCCAGTGCGCCACTGGGCCGGCCCAAATCCTAAACATTTTTAACATAAAGTATTTTTTTAGAAAAATCTACTTTATCTACTTTTTTAAACATAGAAGAATATTTCACCAAAATTTTCTAATTGAAACTTTTCCAGAAGGAAAGTTTTAAAAATCTATAGGTATGATTTAAAAGAGTGTTAAATGGAAATAATTTGTTTCAGCACATTTTTACTATACCTTACATTTTAGTATATTTTTGCTTACACATTTTTATACCTTAATGCATTTCCTTTCAAGAAAATATTTACAAACTTGCTTTCCCTTCCACTCTACTGTATGTTGGTTGATGAATCCTTGACTCATTCTCACATGCTGCTGCTTCTCTTTAGGTTTACCATCCTTTAGAAACAAAACAAAAAGCTAAATGTAAGAAACAGAAAATTAAATATTTTATTCTATTACACAAAATTATCTTAAACCACCTTTAAAACATTAAAAAGTGACTCTTTTAAATTGGCCTTCGTGTGTAAGATTTGGACTTTTATATATTAGTTTAAAAACGAATGCTTTGTCAGTTTCTAAAGTATTTCATCACTGAATATTAGTGTTTGTGCAACTTGAGTATTTCATCGTACTTTGCCCTTATTTTGTAAAATTGATGAAAAAATATATATAAGTGCTAGTTCTTCTCATAAAAAGCACAGTCTAAAAACAAAGATCTCCAGCAATCCCATTACTGGGTATATATGGAAAGGAATGGAAATTATCATGTCAAAGGGACACCTGCACTCCCATGTTCACTGCAACCCTATTTACAATAGCCAAAATATGGAACCAACCTAAGTGTCCATCAACGGACGACTGGATAAGGAAAATGTGGTACATATACACAATGGAATACTACTCAGCCATAAAAAAGAATGAAATTCTGCCATTTGCAGCAACATGGGTGTGTCTGGAGAAAATTATGTTAAGAGAAATAAGCCAGACAAGGGAAGAGAAATATCACATGTTCTCACTTATAACTGGGTAGAAAGAAAGGAAAGAAAGAAAAAAAAGAAAAGAAAGAAAGGAAAGACCAAAACAATATGCTGAACTTTCAGAAGGGGAAAACAAACCTAACGATACTAGAGATGGGGGAGAGTGATAGGTTGGGTAAAGGGCATGAAAGGAAAGAAAGAAAAAAAAGAAAAGAAAGAAAGGAAAGACCAAAACAATATGCTGAACTTTCAGCAGGGGAAAACAAACCTAACGATACTAGAGATGGGGGAGAGTGATAGGTTGGGTAAAGGGCATAAAGAAAAGTCACAATTTGTAATAATAATATGCTTATAATAAATAATAAAAAAGAGAGACAAAAATAAAATAAAATAAAATAAAAACAAAGATCTGAGCTGGCCAGTTAGCTCAGTTGGTTAGAGCATGGTGCTGATAACCCCAAGGTCTGGGGTTTGATCCCTGTACCAGCCAACCGCCAAAAAATAAAAAATATAAACAAAAATCTTTAGAACAATGGAAAGAAAGCTGGAAATCACAGGGTGAAACAAAAGCAGTGAAATCTATAGTTTCAATGAGATGTTCACTGGGTGTGAGCTGAGTACACTGACAAGCTCAAATTAATGTGATAAAGGTATAAAAACAAAGGGGGATTTTTATATAAAAAAACAGAAAGAGAATTATGTAATTTTCCCTTTTCAGACACATAAACAATTGTTAATGTGTTAACTGTGGTACAGCTTACAGCTTCTGCACACCAAATTTTTGAATAGTTTTAGTAATACATTATGTACAAACAAGGGAGCTCACTATACAGTTATTTATGTGATCTGCTTTGCAATAATGTCAAATTTTCACTTAGCACCATCAAAATCATGTCTTATAAATATGTCAGTTTAAATCCTTAATTTTATTTAATTACATTATTAAACATATAGAATTTGTTCTATACGGAAGGGCTGCCAGCTTTGACTGAATGATCATTTGAGTCCATATAGACCAAATGAAAAGAAATACTGACTAGGGGTCAGGAAACAAAGTTCCAGCCCTGGCACGGCCCTGTGTGGACTACAGGCAGTTACCTAAACTCTAGGGCTTCAGACTCCTCACTTGTAAAATATGGAGGCAGGGACAGATTTTATATGAATGTGCTCTAATCTATCATATTTGGTATTTCTAATATTTTACCACCCCTGACTCTTGTCCCCTGTGACCAAGCCTAATAAAAAGGTTACCAGCTAGTTTAAAAGCCCTCAGAAAAGCAGAGTCCAGAGAAGTCACTTATTGTCCTACCCTGTTTACATCTACAGACCAAGGAAAGGAACTTCTACAAAGTAAAATCTAAATACCAGGAGGGTAGGGAGGCCGAGGAGATTTGGTAAGGCCAGTGCTCAGAAATATTAATTTTTAATTTCCAGAGGGAGTCAGGAACCAATAGCAAATGAGGGACAGCAACAGTAAAAACTTTATAAGACTCTGTGACCTTTGAAATGTTTTCACAACTATTTTATCTTCTCTCTGCTGCTTATTTTTCCACAGTCATTGACAGTACAATACTCAAAAATCAAGGGGCTTGTGTGCATGTATTCACGCACAATTGGGAGAATACCAAGGCTTAAAACGAGTACTGGCAGCTAATGAGAGAGAAGGAAAGAAGCTGCAATGGTAAGAAGGAAGAACATGGAGAGCTCACTGATGGAAAGAGGGGATTCCCACCACTGGATACCCCTGATTTGGGGAGATGCTCCCACCTCTGCATACCACTTAGTACTTCTTGCCACTGAGGTATAACACATAAATCCAAAAGCAAGTGGGTGTTCTCTTACAAACACACGTCCTTATACCTCTTCCTGTGGGCCTTTGTTCCTCTGTAAAGCTTTGGATCCTTTTTTTCCAGTGTCAGGCCATTTTCGCTTTATTTTCTTCTGTTTACCATTCTTGCGACCAGATTTAAGATTTTTATTCTTTTGCTTAGCAGCTAAAAACAAGAAAGTTAATTTTTAAAATGACATAAAAGTACAATAGCAGTTTACTCTTAAGAAGAATGTCTTATAACAACCCAGGAAAAGTTCTCAACAGCTCAATGAGTGAAAACTGCTATGATACTTACCTGTTTTTCTAGAAGTTCTGGGATTAAGAGCCCAAAAAGAGAATTATGATAATACATTCTGGATTCCCAATTCATTCTTTTTGAAAAAAATATAAGGTATTGTCAGGAAAAAGGCAAGATAATTAAGGCAATTAATCTTGCAAGCCATAAGCCGGATCCTTTTGAAGTGTTCAGAGGATGATGGATCTAATTAGAAATTTCCATAGCAGTATATAAAAGCTCCAGATGTTTAAAATGACCTATGTACTACTGTCAGGTATTTCACCGAAAACATTTTGGATTAAGTTTATCAACAGATCCATTTTAAATAGAAGAAACAGAAAAAAACAGTAAAAGGAGAGCATTAAGAATTTAATTAACGATTGTCATTTCTCCTCGCATCTATGGCTAAATCTCATTTTAGCAACATAAAAGAATGTATTTCTAAGTTACAGTCTTACTTACAACCATTTCAGTCAATTCCTCTTCAAATGTCAGCAATACAAACAAGCATACTTGTCCTTCATACATAAAGAGACCAGGGACTTAGCACTCTCCCTTTAGAAGTAGCCATGTCCTTTGATAACCCACCTGCACGCCCCCCCCTCCCCCCACCAGCTCCTCCTGCAAACAGTGAGTACAGATCTGGCCACACTAGGTGGCCAGGTCTCAGATGGGGTCTCGAGTCATGCAAGCTCACATCTGGTGTAAAGATCCATGAAAACCATGATCTTATCATGAGATAAAATGCAGGCAAAAAACTTCCTGTCCATATATGAACAACTGTACTGCTTCTCTAGATAAACTGTAAACAATAAAATAGTTTGACCCTTACCTTGCTGGGAATTTTCTACTCCCTCTTCCTTCAAGGATTTTTCAAGAAATGGTAAGGGTTGAGCAGCATTTGCCCCCTGTCCATATATGAACAACTGTACTGCTTCTCTAGATAAACTGTAAACAATAAAATAGTTTGACCCTTACCTTGCTGGGAACTTTCTACTCCCTCTTCCTTCAAGGATTTTTCAAGAAATGGTAAGGGTTGAGCAGCATTTGC